GGAGCAAATTGGCTCATTTTATGTTTGCTACTTACACATATAGACAGGCTCTGCTTATTGGTCCTACACGGTGCATGTGTTTTACTGTTCTCACTTAACACACTTCTGTAAAGCTGATTAATGTTTTGTGGCTCATCCTGTAGCCTGTCCAGTTGGTTTGCAGGGATGCAAAAATTACATTTAATATAATAGTAGAGATGCACCGATACCGGTTTTTCGGTATCGAGTACAAGTACCGATATTTTTTTTTTTTTTCTGGTACTCGCCGATACCAGATGTCCCATTAAGGAAGCCAGGCAGTGTGTAATGACTCGCCACCTGGCTTCCTGATTAGCAGGGAAGCTGTCTCCATGCTTCTCGTCACTAGGCGACAAGGTCATGGAGCCGGCTTTCTGGCCAATCAGGAAGCCGGGCGCCGTGTAACGATGTGGTGATGAGGGAGCATGACGCCGGCTTCCCGACCAATCAAAGCCGCATCATTAAACGGGGCCCAGCTTCCTGATTGGCCAGCTTCCCAACCAATCGGGAAGCCGGACAGCGAGTCGTTACACACTGCCCGGCTTCCTGATTGGCTGGGAAGCCACAAGGGAGCATAGAGCCGGCTTCCCGGCCAATCAGAAAGCCGGGCAGCATGTAATGACTCGCTGCCTGGTTTCCTGATAGTATCGGGCTAGGCATCGGAGCATTTGGGCGAGTACTCGGCATCGGCACCGATATTAGTATCCGCGCATCCCTACATAATGGTTACTATAAATTTGTACTGAAAAATATTAGCGTTGTTTGAAGCTGTGTGCAGGGTCCTTTGGACCGGATCCCCAGCATGCCCCTAGTCATGCATTTATTGCCTTTCCGAGATACTTCTTTAGCATTGTTTGGGATACAGTGCCCCCAAGTTTTCCGTTCAGGAGCACATACATATTGGCTGATCTTTACTTGTAAATCTAGATACAAGTACAAAATTAGTCATCTTCCCTTTTTATCAGCTGCTGATTCTAAAACCACACTCCACATTGTAATGAGACTTTTTAAATACTGCATCTGTACAAAATGTCTTTTAGTATGGAACTTATACCAGATTGTTTTCTTTTCTGTCACTCTAAAGCTCCAGAGAGAAAGATGAAGCCACTGCTGCCTCGAATTGATTCCTATCTCATACCGGTCCAGTTTCCCATTACACAGTCGGTCTTGTTCTCTCCCGTGGAGGCATTTTGTGCTGATCCTGGACCATCTGGTGGAGCACATTTCAGCAAACGTGTTAAGATCGCCCCCAAGGTTAGAGAAGTATGATTTGGATATATTATCATTCATCAATTTCATATCATCATATATCATATCAATTTTAATTATTATCTAGCAGAACCATTTTTGTGACCAGTGTCTCTAACAATTGTTTCAGATACCGCCGGAGACTGAGGATCCTCTCCCTTTGTCCCAACCAGTGGAGGTTAAGGCTGAGTCGGTCGATATTAAGTCTCCAGCTCCTTTTCAGTGCAGACGAGCAAGCGGGTCCCGGCGGAAACAGCAGCTGGTCACCCCTCGGTCTCTGGAACCAGAGCTAGTCCTTCCTGACAGCAGTGCATCTGATTCAGGCCTGGACACTGATTTCTCCTTCCTGCAGGACACACAGGCACAAGAGGGCCCTTCGCAAATCACACAGGATGAGGATTATGCCTTTAAGACCCCCATCAAGGAAAGACTGAAGCCTCATGCTTCCTCCACTCCCAGTAAGCCACGGGGAGCATGTACCCTCCCGGATTCCGAATTTCCCTTAAGTAGAGATCTTCTGCCTGACTTCAGCCCCGTCCGATTCCCCTGCAGCACTGCCCTCACCCCTTTTAAGGACAACTACGGTGCCGTAAGTTTTGGGGAGACTCCTTTTAAGGATCTGCCCATTTTTGGCTCTCCGTCAGACTTCATGGGTACATTTTCTCCATCTTCTCCCCAATCAGACACACTGGACACTCCTAAGGGCATGCGCAAACACAAACGCTGTTCCAAGGAGCTACTCATAGGAAACTCAGCCAATCGCTCCTTATTAGAGGGACTTGTGCTGGACACAAAGGACGAGAGCCTGAGTAAGATCCTTCTGGATATCAGCTTCAGTGGCTTGGATGATGACAACAGCGTGGGGGGTGACAACTCGTACTTGGGGCAACTTTTATCCGAGCTGAGGTAGAAGTGGAAGTGAGAAACCTATACCACGGTCACTTTTTTATTTCTATACATGTCTTGTACATGTGAGATTTTAGCCCTTGGGTTCCCAGCTTGGTTTATTTTTGCTGTAATTATCTAGGGAGTGGTGTTTTACTCTGTTCATTGGCTTATTTTGAATTTGCTTTAGCATGTATTGTGGAGATACTCCTTAATGCATTGCAAAGCAAGGAACTGTACCAAACTAAACATTGTTCAAGAGGAACTTGCTATTCAATGTCCACATTGCAGTCACACACATATGTGGCCAGTTTGTTGAACGCCTCCTGAATCCAGATCCCCATGCAAGAGAAACTTTTGGGGCGCCTGTAGAAGAAAGCATCATAATCACAGGGCAAACTTCATGCAGTTCTCTGCTTGGAACTGAACCCCCAGCTGCAGCTTATCTAGGCAAAAGGCAATGCGAGCAGTGAGATTCCCCCTCCCTGCCTTGGTAATGGTTACAGGTCAGGGGGATCTCTAGGTAGAGTCCAAAAACATTGAGTCGGCCATTGCTGGACTCCCCTCCTGAAAATGCTGCCAACCTTTTGGCTTCAATACTTGCAGTCACTGACCTGGGACACGTGTGCGGATAAGGATGTCTGACTTCTAACCTGTAAACTTGTTTTGGGTTGGTGACTTGGTCTTGAAGCCAGGGGATCAGAAAAACATCCAGGCATTTTCAGAAGGAAACTCTGTATTTCTCCTGTTACAATTTAGTGATTCAATATCCAAAGTATCTGTTTTGCATGAAGTTTGGCTTCGAGAGGACAATTCCAATACACTGAAATGTATTAGCAGCTGTGTCCATTCCCTGTATCACTGATGGTAAAACCTTAGGCCTGCAGCAGTAATGCCTAGGTGTTGCCCTCATTAAGTATTCTTTGATGTCATAGAAGATAATTCTTGGGGATAGGTTGCCTGGAATAAGAAAGTGAGCCGGGAGGACATTGTAGGAAGGCCAAATGTGCAGATTCCAAAGCGTACAATGTCTCTGTACATTTGCCAAGAGTGGCTTTGGGCGGGAATTCTCCTCTAGCTTATAGAGATCTAGCTCTAGAGATCAAGGTAATTGTATCTATTTAGCAGGTTTTCTGGGGTCATAATGCTCAAAAAGTTCAATCAGAATGTTAATTGCTTTGGTGTTGCTGAGCAAAATTACAACCGCAATGTATATTCGCAAAGTTATAACAGCTATTGGCAGGATTTGGTTGTGTAAATGTATGCTATTCTTTTGCATGCATAGCAAGGTCAGAGATTAAGCCCATATGAGAATCTCTTCTACAATGAGCAGTCCACAGTGGAAGATCTGCTTTGGCTCCTTCTTTGTAATACTCTTTCCAGCGGAAGGCTAGAATGTCGGCCTTCAGTACACGGGATCTGCTTCCAGAGTCAGCCTAACACTGCAGCATTAATCCAGACGCTGACAGACAAAAGCAAGCATTTCATTTAGCTGCTGCATGCTCAAGCACTCTTCTCTCGGTTACACATGCTCTCTAAATTATGTAAACCAAATTGCTTTTTCCCTAAACCGATGCACTGCACCCTCTCTATTTTCATGTTTTGTATTAAGTCTAAAAATATTTAATGTTTACTTGTGTACATACTGTATATTCCTCATGTGTAGCTTCCGTCGTCACTTTATTGTCTTGTAAATGATTTTTAAAGTATTAAAGGGGTAACTGCACATTCTGACAAATGTATTGCTAGTTGAGGTTATAGGGCAGTGGGGTATATACCCTGCCTATAAAAAATGCGGAGAGGCCCCTGTGCATTAGGAGGATTATGCCCTGACTATGGGAGGACATTGTTCTTGGGGGATTATGCCCCGCTTAAGGGAGGGTACTGCTCGAGTCACCTATAGGAAGGCAGTGTTGGGGTATATCCCCCACCTATAGAAGTCACTTTACTTTGAGGTATATTCCTCCTTATAGGTTTGCTGCCCTGGGACTAGCACTGCATCTAAAAGTTGGGCAATGGGATCTTACGCTATGGCAAGTAACAGCCATCCTTGCAAGTTGATTAAAACCTCTAGTGAGAGAAATCTGCAGGCAGTCTTTGCTGACCTTAAAATGCTCATTTCTTGGCTTTCACATTGACCTTTAGGCTCCAATACTTCTCGACAAGGAATAAGGGTGCAGAACAGAAGTTTTGACTTCATTTGTCTGATCCAGGTTGGTGAGTCAAAAGTCTGGATGCCAGAGAACCAGGACATTAGCGTTTTGAGGAGGAGCAATGGCAGATGGCATATTTCTCTCTGCTCAGTTTTCCCTTCTGTCTTTCTGCCAATTCTACAGAAGATTTTATTGTAAAAAATGTATAAAAAGTCTGTCACTAGCAATATTATGACTGTAAAGCTGAAATCTACGTTTTAATGTATTATTTATATTATTAATCATGGGATTATTAGAAAATAATTATGTGCTTCGGGTGTGTTTGGATTTTGTCTTCTGTGTCTTTGTATGTGTTGAACATTAATAAAACAAAAAAAAGGAAAACCTTTTGTTCTCAGGACATCAAATCATTTTTCTTGTTGGCATTTACAGGACAATAGTCTTGATCATGAGTTATATGCACGTACCTTCAGCTTATGGGAAACTGGCAAAACAAAGCTATTGGACAGCCCCATATAACCTCCCCCTCCCAATCCTAGCAAGCCTCAGTGTCCTGAGGTAATGGACTCCTCTCTTTTGAGAGAAGCAAACCACTTTCACTAAGGCCTTGTTCACACCAAATAAAAAAACTGCAGCAAACCCTATTTTACCTGCTCTGGAACGCATGCAAACACATCGCAAACGCACTGAAAGCCCATTTTAAACACAAAAAATAATAATTTTTGCAGAATCTCATGCAGATCTGGTCTGCATTTGGTGTGAACAAGGCCTTAGAATTCTGGAGAAAAGGAAAAAACAATCATCATGTTTACCTGCACCACTGCTACTGCAGTTTCCCGTGGCAGCTTTCCAGATAGGATGACCCCTCAGCTGAGCCTTGGGAACCCTGCATGGATGAGGACTTAGGGACAGTCTGTAATGGGTCGGGCAATGGATGCTACTTGGGGCATTTATCTTGGTGTGTGGTAAAACATGTTGAGTTATCTGCTGCTGTTACTACCATGGCAGTCTGTTACTACCATGGCAGTCTGTCAGATCCTTGCAGTCTGAATCAAAACATGTAGCTTGAGACCCCAAATCCATTCCAATGGATCCATCTCTGCCTCAGCACCTGGAACTCCTGCCTGTGGCCTTGCATCACTGCATCGATGGTTTGGCAGACGCACCTCACCAAATTTCTAGGATAAGCCTTCTTGTCACATGCGGCAGATCCTATGGCTCTAATGATGGTCTGCAGAGCTTGTGTGCCTGGAGGGGATGCCTTTCATCTGGGAACACCTCTTTGGTGACTTCCTTGGACACCTATATCAAGGAGGTCAGGGGTGGCAAGAGTACCTTTTTGACTTTCAGAAATTTGTTATTAAATATTTGACAACACAAAGAAATACAATACACAAGGCATCTCATATGGTAAGCATGGATATACAATCAACTTGAATGAAGTGTCACTGCCATAAGTAGAACACATTGCTCGGAAAGCAAAAAGGATCATGTATGATTAAACCATTGGTCCTTGTGATGTATCAAACATATCTGATGCCCACAAAAGGACAAAGACAAGAGCGGACAATACATAGGAAGCTCAAAAGAATAGTAGTAGGGAACAAAAAAGGGTAAGGCAATAGGCAAGAAAAGGGTTAGGGTGCCCACACACCTTACGATTATCGTACGATAATCGCGGGAAATCCCGCGATCGTACGATGTTCGTAAGGTGTGTGGAAGCCGTGCGACCTCTACTACTGTAAGGTCGCACGACTTTAAATTTACGGACATGTTTGAAAACCCGCCGAGCATCGTACGATGTTCGGCGGGTTTGTGGCATGTCCGTACGATAACAGCCGCACGGGCCGGGGTGCGCAAGCGCACACTGCCCGTTCGGCATTGCGGTCATTGTAAGCCCGCCCCTCAGGGGGCGTGGCTTGCGATCATCGCAAGTACGATCTGCCTATGCAACATAGGCAGATCGTACGTTTTTTTAAGTACCTTACAACCATCGCAAGACAAAAGTCTTGCGATGGTTGTAAGGTGTGTGCCCAGCCTTAGAAAGGCATCCAAGATGAGGCTATAAGTCGGCACTACAACACAAACATCAGATTAAAGAGTCTCGGAAATGTTCAGGTATCGCATTCAAGGGTCCCACACCTCAAATTTGTCACAAATATCCCTAAGAATGCTACTCCTCTTTTCATGTACCATTATCCACGACAGTTTAGAGACAACTTGTCTGAACGGAACTGTCGGGGTTTTCCAGACCTTTGCCAAATTCATTTTTGCAGCTAGAAAAAAGAATGACCGTAATTTATCTTCGGACCTGGATATACCTGGGACTGGACGGTTCAATAGGATATACTGTGGAGGTCGGATCTGGAGTACTTTATAGATCAAAGCATAAAGTCTATTCTAGTATGTGCAGGGAAGTGGGCGTTCCCACCAGGTATCCAACATAGTCCCATTGAGTCCGCAGCCCTTAAAGCATAGAGATGACTGGCCTGGGTAGATAGCAGACAATCTGGATGGCACCATATACTGTACCAGTGGGAAAGAACTTTATAATTGGTGTCGATCAGGGATACATTAAGCAGTCCTTTGGACATCCTGGAGCAACAGGTGTGCCATAGTTCCAAGGGTAGCTCAGTCCGCAATTCCTTTTCCCAGAATATCATAAAAAAACAACTTTGAGGAGGGATATCCACCCACGTGGAGTAGTCAATTGCATACACCTCCATTCATATGAAGTGGCAAAAGGAGAGTTCACTGTAGGTACACTCACGGAACTCAGAAAATAGTGAAGTTGTCTGTAACTAAACCGTTCAGTGGGTGGCATATTTAATGTATTCAGGCAATATGTTAATGTAATAGGTTGACGGGCTTTAAAAAATCTACCAATGCGATAAAAAGACCTTTATCAGTCCACCACTGAAATGCATGTGGTTGAGATCCCGGCGGGAAGTTAGGAGTGCAGAGTATCGGCACCAAAGGAGCGTGGATAGTGGCTAGATTATAAATCCTTTGGAGATGGTCCCATAAGGACAGGGTCGGCGTGAGGACCACCGTCTGTCGTCTAGGAAGAGCACCTTTTTTTTTTCTTTCTGTAAATAGAAGGCAAAATCCCCCCCAGGCAAATCGTTGGCTACTAGAACCAAGAAGAGTTCCTTTTATTACTCCCAGGCTTTCACCTCCAAGTCGAGTTCCTTGTTCTGCCATAATCTATAGACTTCCAAGCCCACTAAATCCATAGCCATGCCCTCCTTGCAATGAGTGGGGGCTCCTACTTCTCAGATTGGAGAGGAACGCCTGACAGCCTTCTCAGCTATCTGGTCCCAACAAACTCCAGGTGTTTGGGTCCAGGGTGTTGTATCGAGGGGCTACCAACGAAAGATTTGGTTTCTGCCTCCACCATGCTTCTTCCTTTCAAATGTGCCATTTTCCCAGCAAAAAAAAAAAAACTAGATCTCTACTCTGCTCTCCAGCAACTCCTTTCTTAGGGGGTCATTGCCCCTGTTTGAGCGGAGTTGCACTGTGCAATAGGGTGCAGTAAATGGATAGTACTGTACGTTTAGAGCAGGGATGGCCAAACTCCGGCCCTCCAGCTGTGGTGAAACTACAAATCCCATGAAGCATCTCTCTCCGGGAGTCTGTGGCTGTGAGAATTTTGCAAAGCCTCATGGGATTCATAGTTCCACCACAGCTGGAGGGCCGCAGTTTGGCCATCCCCGGTTTAGAGCAATGCTTTAGTGTTAGGGGGCCCTGAGTCTTACAAGAATCTGATGCCAGTTTCGGATTTGAGCTTTTTCATGCTGCTCCGAGTTTATCTGGCTCTCATTTGCCTGTTTACATGGGCCTGTTACAATATATGTGGACGCACACGGCAATAAAAACTGGACAGGGCTTCAAAACTTTCCCCACTTTGTTCAAACACTCTATGGATTGTAAACAAAGTTATGTTGAAGCAGATATACAGGTTAGTCAGGAACAAACAGAGCAAAGCTCTCCGATTCCAAATCCACCAATGACGAGCTCAGATGTCGGTAAGAGCCACCTTGTGCCGAGTTACAGCACGTAAGCTGTTCAGGATAAGGTCAATAAAGCTTGAGATAGTTTTTTCCTGAATACAGAGAGGTTTTTTTGGCCGTTCAGAATGGAATTCTGTGAATTCGTTTTCTTCCACACAGTATTGTCTAACAGAAAGCAATGAACATTTACAAGCTCACCGGGCGGGCCCCTACCTTCACGGACTGACCCACATGAGACTGGGACCCGTTGCTCCGTCCGGCGCCCCCCCTCAGCTTAACGCCCGGAGCAGACACACCGGCCGCCCCCCCCGGTTGTTACGCCACTGCTCACCGTCACTCCACTTGTTAAACATACTCTCTGTACGTACACAGATGATATATTGTCTGCATTCAGCACAGACAAGGCACCTATTCGTAAAAACCTCAGTTACAATCAGGGCCGGATTTACTTTCTCTCTGCTGCCCCAAGGCCAGGTTCCTCAATGCGCCATCCTACCCGCCAAACCCCCCCCACCCATGGAGAATGGCAGACCTGCATGCTGCATACAATGTCGCCGAGATCACTTGTACAGAACAAGCGGCGGCTTCCCCGCTGTACATTTAGCTCTGCGTGCCCAAAAAATGACTATACGCCCAGGCATCGGGAGATAGAAATTCCACACCCATGCTGCCCCTCTACTCCATGCTGCCCCGAGGCAGGGCCTTGGTTGGTCTCGTGGGAAATCCCACCCTGGATACAATATAGCCCTGGGCATAATACAAAATGACATGATTCAGTCTGTTAGGAGTATTAAGGTCCCTTTTACAGGGACTGGGGAAATTTCCATTGACTTTCTGTCCTGGACACACAAAATGAAGTAAGGAGAATTCCCCTCTTAGACAGTTGTCACCAGAACAGATGTCCACATTGGAAGATTTTTCCCTCGCCTCCTGTTCTGGTTATAACTGTAAAATGTTGGATTTCGAGAAATAGAGATTATGAATTAATTCAGTGGAGACACAGACCGCAATAAAACTTTAAAAGGGGCTCTAATCTTTCCCCACTCCATCTACAATTAGGAGAAAACAGATTTGGGTATACAGCCCAAAGCTGGCACTGGATGAGGCCGTAACCCCCATCTGGTAACAAGGATATGAGAACAAGACCAGGTGGTAACCTAGCATGGAGAACCAATGCCTGATATTAACTCAATCTTTTACAACATTCCGGTAAAAATAATTGTGCTTTTGATCATAATATAGATACAGATTAAAGTAAACCTTTAGCCAAAAATAACAAGATAAAATGCATAGCCCCTTAACAGAGTAAATAAAATTGACTTTTGCTGCAATATTCAGCTTCAATCCAGAGATCCCCCCCCCCCCCCGCAGTACTTTTTTCTGCCACTAGATGTCCTCAGTCTGATCGCCAGCACCATTCAGCTTATTTCCTCCAAGTCCAGGTTGTCCTGGGCCCGCCCCCAGCCTGTGACTGGACAGTGAAAGGAAAAGCTGCATGGTGATGAGCTCATCTTTCATCACTCTGCTCTCTCCCTTCAGCATGCTTCTTGTCAGAACCTGATCTGATTGGCTCCCTGTAATGCTTCTTCTCACACCCCAGCCCTGCTGTTCAGGGACTACCGGAGGCTGATTCTAGGTCATATTCAGGTGCTTATGCTGCTTGCATTTACAAGATACATGTAATGATGTTTTAATTATTACAGATGTATTTGTATGTTTTATATCTGCATAATGTTCAGCTTTAACAGACATTTTTAAAGGAAAATGCTCACAACAATCTTTGAATATTGCAGACCTGAAAAAAAAAGCACAAATGAGGAGTGTTTGGCCGGCATATGAACTTAGTCCATTCATTGTTACCCTGACCACACATTCATTGTGCACAGACTTGTGAGCACACATGCACCTCCCCTCCCCTCCCCGGGCTGTTACCATGGATAGAAGACACACACACACATACATACAAGGACTGCCTGCAAAGGGCGACAATGTGGAGTCACCTCTACTAGTCCGGTGAGTTTATCTTCTCTCCGTCCCCAATCTCAAAATGTCATTGACAGTCATCTACCCCAAACCCCCACAATATGTTGCTATGGGGTATAACACAGGATTTCCGTGTGCTTTGGTTCTGTACATGGGACATGGCAATCTGGGGTTTTCTTGGGGCACATGCAGCCCTCAGACAATTTAAAGTGTATCTAAAATGATACCAATTTTTAGCTTTGGAAGAGTTGGAACCTTTTTAGGTGATGGAGTCACTGAAATCTAGACATGTGTGATTCGTTTCGGAAAGATTAGTTATTCGGACCAACTTTCGGAAATTCAGAGATTCGGATATATCCGAATCTCCGAATGACAGAAATGCCGAATGCAAACAAATCCGCATTTCCAATAGTGAAAATTGCGGACGAAATTCATTAGCGGTAGTCTAGGAATTTTCGTTTGTGGATGAATATTCGTTGCAGCAAAGTGAGGGGGGGGGGGGGGGAATACTTTTTTTTTTTTTTTACAGTCTGCAGAAGATACTTTTAACCCTTTAGTGAATGAGTACCCCTTACTCATTCACAAGGGGGGCAGCATCTTTCAATTAAAGGGGTACTCCGATGCAAATAAGCCCCCTTGCCCGCAGACCCCCACAACCGCCGGGTCAGAAAAACAAATGAAGGTTTTCACCAATATAACCTGATTCCGTTATTTCCTTGTCTATTCTGGAGCTCCATTTACAATTTGTGTGCGTCAGTTGTGGTGCACTGAATTGCATTGATTGATACGGTGTATGTGCATTGTGAGCCCATTCAGAACGAAAATACACAGCACATATTAAAATGCATCTTTAAACACAAGTGGAAATACTGAGTCCAGCCTCATACAGTTTTCATTTTTTAACCCTCTGTCTGCAAAAACCTTCATCGCTCTCTGGTTAGTAGGGTAAGCGGTTTTATGACCATGCTTGCAGGCTGCAGTAGCCTCAGTCTGCCAGATGGTGGCGCTGCAGCCTTAATGGAAATGTGCTATATGCAACCCGGCCTGTAAAATTTGGCTGCAAAACCTTGGGGGGGGAGATGTATCAAAACTGAAGCAGACAAAATCTGCAGCAGTTGCCCATGGCAACCAATCAGCTTCTCTCCTCAGTTTGTTCAGTTAAGATTTCAGAATGAAAGAGAGAGGCTGATTGGTTGCCATGCACAGCTCCTCCAGATTTTGTCTGCTCCAGTTGTGATAAATTCCCTTCCTTGACTTTAGGCCCCATTCGCACTTAGGCGTAGCAGGAGCACGCATCGCGTTTTTGCGACTTTTTGCTTCTGTGTTTTCAGCGCATCTCCATTGGGTTATCTGTACGCACGACAAACGCAGAGAAGTAGTGCATGTACCAAAATCTGTGACATGCGTTCCGTGTTTTGTTCATGCTCGTCTGTGAGAATTTTGCGGTGCCTCTAACTGGTAATGGCACAGGAAGTACGTTTTCGAACCCGCTTCAAAGTGCGCATATCTGTGCGTGTTCGCCGCACGTTCACGGAATGCCTAGCTGTGCATGGGGACCCCACAGGCTTCAGTACTTACTAGAGGCCAGAATACTAGAAGAAGAGGCTCTGTCCAGAGTACATTAGAGGAAACCTGTACTATAAGGAATACAGAGGCTGCTACTGCTGGCTCCTCCCTCTGAAAATGCTAGTTGCCTGGTTGTTATGCTGGGGCTTAAATAATCTTATTAGGATTTGATAATATTTTCTTGAAACCTTGGTTGTGACTATTTGTAAATATATTTATGTATGGAGACCATTGTTGATCGTTACAAATGCAGGCCCTGTTTTCTGTAGTGCTGTACAGTGATTGAGCTTTACTGTTCCCCTCTCTCAATAGAAGTCTATGGGTCAGGTCTGACTTGATTAAAAAGCTTGGTTTCTGTTTCAGGTTTTTCCAGGTCTACAGACATGTCAATGGCAGTGATTCCCTCCCCCCACCCTGAGCCCCTGCTATCAGAGCCCCCGGTTCACTCCCCTGGCTTTGCTCCCCGTGGCATCCATCGGCTGTTATTCCAGAGCCCCCCTTATAGTGATGCTAAATTAGAGCTGCTGAGAAAACTGAGAAGCCCCCTGAGGGTGGAGCAGCCTCCTTCTCACACCCTGGGCTACGTGACCTGGCTAGAGGTCAGCCGGCTGCCCCCTCTCCTCCCGCTGCTCCCAGACCGACCGTACGATAGCGCTGTGTGGAGACAGGTAACCGTGGCCCCCGCCAGCGCCAGACCCAGAGAGCCCATCCCTGCGCCCTCTCGAATGGAGGAGAACACATGGAGTAAGTTCACTCGTTGCAGTGGAGTTCAGAGAGACACGAGGGAAGCACGTGCTTTAAATATCCGGAGCCAAGGAAGAGCTCCCGCTATGGACTCACACGGGAACATCCTTCCACCTCCTGGGCACAAACGGTGAGTGGACCGAGTTCTCTGGTTGGTGTAAAGCTTTGTAGCCGCTCCAGTGCCTATAACATGCTCTGAAGAGTGTGGCTCCCATTTTCTGAGGCTACAGTTATTTCCCGAGAGTGCCTCTGCTGTGCTTTGTAACTGACCTGCTGAAACTCCTCCCCGTCCCTAGTTCATGTGCGGGAAATATGACAATGTATCAGCTGCTAATGGGAGAAACTGTAAGGGCTCATTCACACGGGTAACGGCCGGCCCGTACAGCTCCGTGCTGCGTGCACGGCCGTATCGGGCCACTCCCGGGAAGGACATGTGCTGCGTGTGATTAGTACGCAGCCCCCGTCCTTCTCTATGGGACTATCCGGGCGTACGCCCCCCTACGCTCACCCCAGGTGCAGGACCTCCGTGCGGGTGAGCGGTACTCGTACGCTGACAGGATGGATCCTGTCTGCGTCCGAGCCGGGGCACCTGCACCTGTACATCCCTGCACCTGGGGTGAGCGTATGGCCGCGTACTCCCATAGAGAAAGACAGGGGCTGCATACTAATCACACGCAGCACCTGTCCTTCCCGGGAGCTGCCCGATACGGCCGTGCATGCAGCACGGAGCTGTACTGGCCGGCCGTTACCCGTGTGAATGAGGCCTAAACCGAAATATGTATTACCACAGGAAGTGATGGCAAGTTTCTCCATCAGGGGCATGGAGAAAAGCAAAAGCAAAAGGACAAAAGCAAAAGACAATTTTTTGTAGAGTGGGGAAGTGTTGGAGCTCCTGACAATGTTTTTACTGCTGTCTTTGCCTTCCTGTCCCAGGGACGCGCGCTCCGTCTGTTTCTTGTACGGGTGTCACAGGCACAGGAAGTAAAGGAAAATCTCCTCAAAGCGGTCACAGAGAGAAATAAAGAGCCCGACATCAATTGTAACTCTTCTGCACTCTCAAATGTATTGCCTGGAGTTAAGGTGCCCATACACCTTACAAATATCGATGCGAGCGCGTTTCCGTCCGATATGCGTAAGGTTGATGGGCAGTGTACAACCGCAAATACTCTACAATCCATCGACTTTTGACTATCCAGCGGGTTAGAAAACTTCGGTCGATCGTACAATTTTCGCATGGTTGGTGGCGTTTTCGTACGTCAAAATTCGTACGATTTACACTGCTCATGCGCAAACGGAAATGCGTGCGGTCAAATACGACAATTCGTCCAGGTGCTTTTTTCTAATTCCTGCTGATTGAACCTTGTGATAATCGGGGCAGGATGGGGCCGCCAAAATCGTACAACGGTTCCAACATCGGACCGATTTTCGTCTAGACAGCCTCATGTCTGTGAAGGGGGTTGTATCTGTCCCATCTCGGTGTCATTCTGCAGTCTGTGTACTCTGATCTCCCTGCCGTGGAGATTCTTGCTGTAGGAAAACCAAACCAGAGAAAGCTGCACTCTGCAAGTCAGAAAGATGAAATGGTTAATATATTACATGTTATGTTCACCCGGGGAAGGAAATCAAAAATTAGACTGAAATAATCAATCAATCAAATATACATTCCCTCTACAGCAAGGGTAGGAAACATCAGCCCTCCAGCTGTGGGGAAACTACAAGTCCCATCATGCTTCTGGGAGTCATGCCTGTGGTTGTCAGAGTCTTGCAATGCCTCATGGGACTTGTAGTTCCACCACAATTGGAGTGCCGAGGTTGCCTACCCCTGGTCTCAAGTGCATGTAACATCGAGCGCTAAAATCTGATGAAATGTTAATATCAAAAGTCATTTTCTACATTTTTTACATTTACATCTGTCATTGCAATCATTCCTGATGATCCTGACATGGAGGTCCTTGTTCAGGCATTTCCTGTTGTAGGGTGACAACACTCCATCCCTGTCTCCCATTTGGGCGCCGATGTGGTCACACAGGCTTCCAATTAAGACCCAGTGTGGCTGTTTCACTTCTCACTAAACAGACACGGTCCACTGTTGTCACCATCTGGAACCCCCCCCTAAGAAATGCCATGCAGCCATTGCTGGAGTGTATGTAGACAGGAAGTGGCTGCAAATAGGCTGCAGGAAATCATCAGCAACGAGATGTAACAAAGGATGTAAAAATGGGGATAACAAAACAAACATTTTATTTAAAATATTGGCAATTGTTTATGATAAACATCACCCAGAGGAGATGTCATCCTGCAAGGGATCATAGCTAACTTGAGTAGTACAAATGTCAAGCCGCACACCGCTATTCTGAACACCTTAAAAACAACTGATTTAGCAGAAATTAGGACACTCCACCCGCACCTCCCCTCTGACGCGTTCTGCCCCCTGCTGGGGCTAATATTTATATTTATATATAAATATTGCTGTAAAGTTTGGTATTATATGGAGGGAAGTATCGGAGTTGATGATGGAAATATCTGGCTTATAGAAAATGTACAGTATATGGATAGGACAAGATTAAGAGGGTGCGTATACTGTAAGTACTCCTACTGCCCCATCTCTCCTTGCTCTCTGAGTAAGCCCCAGGGGCAAAACGTGTCGGGAGGGGTGGGTGGCGTGTCCTATTTCTGCCGGATTAATAAGCAGTTTGGAATAGCCTTGTACGGCTTGTACTACGCAAGTTTGTTTAGAAAGTGATGAATTCCAGAGGTAAGGTACACCTACCGCTGAGGTGGGTACCACAGGGGACCTGAGGACCTACCACAGAGGACCTGGGAGTAGATGACCTGGGGACCTACCACAAGAGACCTGGGAGCAGAGGACCTGGGAGTAGATGACTTGGGGACCTACCACAGAAGACCTGAGGACCTACCACAGGGGACCTGGGAGTAGATGACCTGGGGACCTACCACAGAGGACCTGGGAGCAGATGACCGGGGGCCCGACCGCAGATGACCTGGGGACCTAC